GTTGGTGTAAAAAATCACCCATTTGCTAATATCGTTTTTTCAGTAACAAAGTCAATAATGGTGTTCACTTAATTTAGTTCAACTTGTTTATACATTTATCTAACTAATAAACCACCTTGTAACAAAGTAAGACGTACCCTTTGGCATAAATTTAATGAATTTAAGAGATCTCATATTACCGTTTGAGTACTAGTAAGTAGTAATAAGGAATTTTTATAATATTGTTTCCTGGCTCAAGGGCGTGCAGAGAATTTTTTTGAATTTTTTTCTTTGAAAAGTGAGCACGACACGACAAAAATACATGAGAGCATGAGTTGTATGAAACTGGTGGTGAATATTGATNAAGCACATGATGAAACCCTGTACCGTGCATTCACACACACACACACACACACCAATCAAATGTAATTACGTCACTATGTCACACACACCCAAAAATCTCATATAAAAAAACTTCTGAACGATCCCTGCATCAGACCCTTCAAGGTCACATCGCCTTGATGTTACTAAACAACAACAAAAAAAAGCAATTAATACGTCATAGTGGTGGGGGGAGGCCCAGAACCGGCTGTAATCTGCTACTGTCTTGGCACAACCACGTCGCTGGAATTGCAAAGGCTGCTTCTCAAAAGCTTGGAACACTGTTCCGAACCACAAAACTGTACACACCTCAGCAACTTTTGATTCTTTATAAAGCTCAGATCAGACCTTTTTTGGAATATTGTTCTCATGTATGAAGCTCCACTCCCCAAACATACCCTGAAGTTGCTGTATTCCATCAAGAAAAGAGCCATCCTCCTGATTGGAGACGAGAACAGCACTTACAACCTTGATAGCCTGGAACATCGAAGAAAGGTTGGTGATTTGTCTCTCTTTTATAGACACTTTCACGGGAAGTGTTTAAGTGATTTGGCACATTTGTTTCCACCAAGAGTGGTAGGTACATATCAGAAATACGCGACGGACTGTGGATGCTCATCGTTTTGAGGTTCGGCTTAGTGCACTTCAAACTTCACTGTTTAAGAAGTATTTCATCTGGAGAACTGCGTTTATGTGGAATAAACTTCCTGAGAACGTTTTTTCAAACGGGTTCAAATCCAATGTGAATCGCCACTTTCGCACAGGCACCGCATTGAGAGCGCCTCAAGGATTTTCGTGTACTGCTTGTATTTTGTCCTAAAAAAAAACTATCGACCCGAAATTTCTTCCAGTTTGTTTGTATCTGAAAATAGACTTCTGTTGCATGATCTACATATCTTTGCAAAAAGTTTATTTTGAAGTTGATTACGTTTTTCCTTTCTTTGGAAGTTTCCACATTTTTGTATAAAGATGGAAAAGCAGAAAGCCAAAATGTGTTTTTTGTTTTTAATATCATCTTATAACCTCAGGAAAAAATTAAAATGAAATTGGCAAATTTTGGTTCTTTTCGAGTATATCTGAAACCAACCGGAATGTCCTAAATTTTAAAACGTTATTGAAATAAGCTCTAGAATAGACAACTTTTTGCAAGATTTTATTCAACTTGCGATGTTGTATATACGTGTAACTATTTGTATGTATTTCTGTGAGTTCGAGTCAAATCTTCCAACTGAATTTTGAATCAGTTATCCTCAATCGATTGAAATGAAATTTTTCATATAGGTTCAGTTTGGATAACAATGCATGGTTATCTGAGTGACGCCATTTAACTTAGCGAACCGCCCAAGATGGAGGACCAGTTTTTTTTGCACTCACGGGATATGGGTTTCAAATGAAAGGGTTTGCTAAAAAGAGTATGAACAGTAACATAAAGTTATTCCAAATCCAATATGGTGAACTACCAAAAATGGTGGACAATGTTCTTATCCTGAAATGGTTCAGGGAAAAAATCAAAATACCGGATAACACGATGACTGTCACACCAATTTCAAAACGTTATACCTAACTCCAAAAAATGTAGAACCAACCATGCAACATTCCATCAATTTATTATATTTGGCCCGTACATACGACCCATACATACGTACGGCCCATACATACCTGATAGATATAAAAGCATGTCGTGAGATTTACTTATGCGTACGTTTTTACTTATGAATATCATTACGTACTGTCATCGATGACCATGAGTAGATTCAACTCATTTGTGACATGAAGTCGTAATTTTTACGAACTAATTGAGTGCTTCATCTCATATTATCCAGATTGGTGCTGAAGAGGCAATAAGGCAAGTGTCTTATTCCGAAACACCGGATATCCACCAGTGTAAGTGAAATTTTACCTCTTTCATTTACTATATTGTGTAGCAATACTGTGAATATCTGATTCGATTCTGTAACGAATGTTTAGAATACAAACTGAATAGAGAAAAGTTTTTTGTATAATTCAGTGTTCATATAAAAGTAGTTTTTTCGAAAGTAGGTACCTATTTTTCTTTCGTGTAATTCAATGTTTTCGTGAAAGTAGTTGTTTTGAGAGGGTTTTTTTCAGTTTGGGTCTGAAAGTCATTTCTTCGCATGATCTATATATCTTTGTAAAGACGTAATTTTTTGAAATCGAATGTTTTCTTCCTTTTTTTGGAAGATTCAGACATGTGTTTTGTATAAAGATGGAGAAGTAAACAGTCAGAACCTTTGTTTCCCAAAAATTAAACTCTCCTAAAAATATACCTACCCCTCTCAATTTGAGAACGTAAGTAAGTTGATCTTGACATAAGTAATTCAATTTTTTTATATAAAATAGATCTCGCGACAAGCTTTCATATGGTATAATTGGTGTACTGTAATAGACGTATGGGTTTGATTCGATATTAAGTTCATTTTCTTTTTTTAGAGCGCGTAAATGATAAAAGCACTAATGTTTTTTACTATCAATTCACTACTAATTCAACCGATATGCATCTCTTACGGGTTCCGATTTTTCCACTTTGATCCTCCTTATTTTGGACACAGTTGATGAGTAAATCTTGGAAGCAGAATATTTGGATACTCAATTTCATTTCATATCCTGGTTGTGACATCTAGTGTAGCAGCTTTGTATATAGACTAACCTAGTAGGATAATGTACGTGTATTTACTATTTGATACAAGTCGAGCGCCATCTAGTCAAAAAAACGGTATACCTATTGAATTTAATGACTGTACAGATACGACCCCTAGGAGTACCACATTGTCTAAAGATTTATAGTCGGTCAATCACAATGTGAAAAGCATTGGATGGAGGTTGCCAGAGCCATCTATATTTTTTCACTGGAAATTCTGAAATTTTGTCCTGTAATGTGGCGCCTTCATCGGAAGGAAAGCCAAACTTTATTGATGAAAGCAGTGATGCCAATTTGCGTGTAATTACACGAAATGCGTGTAATTTTTACCCCTTACGTGTAATATGCGTGTAATGGAATTTTGCGTGTAATTTCTGAAGTAGCTCATATTAGAGAGAAATGAGAAGAAGAATAATAAACCTGAAGATAGATGTGAAATGTCTTCATCAGAATTTTTAGTAGCGCCAAGTACATCTAGTATTAAGGTTGACGATACTATTGAGTCAGAAGTGAAAAATACGAAGAAAACTAGAAAATATAAATTTTGTGAGTGTTGGTTGCAAGAATCAAATTTGAAAAATGGGTTGACGAAGTCAAAAGATATGGGAAAACATAAAGAATGCCAAGCTTTTTGCAAATTATGCCAAGTAAATATTCTACCTCACAAGGCAACCTTGTTGAAACACAGACAATCTACAAAACATAAATTTCTAGAGAAACAAGTTTCCACCTCTTCAGATTTATCGAAGTTATTGAATAATCCATTGTTTGAAATGACATTTTTGGTTGTTGCCAACCCCAAAATTTTTGTTAGAAAGAAAATAAACAAAATGGCGACACCATTATGGCAGACAACTTTTGTGATTATGGTCCAATTTTATTCAAAATTGGTATCAGGGTTTTCAGGGTCGGAGATTTTTTATTCAGTCACCTTGTGTGACTTTTATAATAAATATCCATCATTTCGTGTTTCAGCTTTCAATGACAATTGTGTGAAAACCTTTCTGTTAAATCCTGGTTCACATCTGAAATTTCCCATTCATTTTTTTATTGTGGAAATTGCTGGAAGGATTATGCCTTTTTGTCTCATATAGTTGTATGCTGAAGGGCTCTTATAATATAAGGATATTGCTGTTTTTTTCCAATAATGTCCAAGGTAAACGAAATTCGTGTCTCAGTTGCATTTTCAATAATGTCTTGGATAAATTTGTTGGAGCATCTTTGAATAAAACCTCAGTAGATAATTGAACTTTCATGATTTTTTTCTTCAATTCGTTCAACTGGGTTTTCAAATTATTCATTTTCATTCTTGATCTGGATAGCATTGACTTCAATTTGGCATTTTCGCTCTCAAGTGGAGGTTTTTTTTAAGTTACATTCATCAATGGGTAGATTTTGAAATCCTTGGAAATCACTGCTACTAGAGCTACTCTCAATGATATTGTCTTCAAAAAGTCTTCTGTTAATGCCTAGATAAAATTTTGAACACGAAGCCACATCTAATGAAGGCGGGCTATTTTCCACACAGCTACTGTCTGAAACAAACTTTTCCGGAACAGCATCTGCTGGCAAGGTTTTTGCATGCTTACTTCTACTCTCAATCATTATTGGTTTTAGTATAGGTAAAAATCTTCATGACAAGCAATTTTCGACTCTATTGATGGCGGGGAGATGAAATCCCTTCTCCTTTTTCAGTAGCGCCATCTAGTGACAGTCTCCTTTTCTGTCAAATATAATTTCCATAAGATTATCCTACTAGGTTAGTCTCTCAGAGCATATTTTATTGTTCTGAGTTTAGTCTATATACAAAAGTAGCAGCATAACCTCAGGAATTAGCTTGCCAGATAAGTGAAAGAGTTCTCGGCAGATGGCTCTCCACGAATATAGAATCTNACCGGCTGCCGGGAGAATAAACATTTCTTGTTCTATCTCCTACACTCCTACCACAGATTAAATTACATTCAACAGTCAAGTGACTTCAAACTTCAAACGTCAGGGAGGGGGAATCAGTTTATGATGTATTTTCATTCATTTACTAAACAAAACCACAGTAACTGTGACATTTCATAATACATATTCCTCAATCAGACCAGACATTCTTATCTACCGATAAAAATCTGATATTGGTTGGTTATATTATTTCGAATGTAGGTATTTAAATGATACATTACTGGTAATGCCATCTCATTCAACGTTTGATTCGAACAGGTGAACTCATAAACTATATTCAAGTTTCAGCATAAAGATCATCATGTCCAAACCGGTTCCAAAACTTCCTAATCAATTTCTACCAATTACTAAAGATGTACTCAAAGAAACAGTATTAAAAGCTAAAGATTGGGCAATTTTGCATGGATGTTCTATGAGGTCAAAAAATAATTACAGTGAAGATTCAGTTCAAATTTCTCCTTTCAATTTACTTCCATCAAGTTTTCCTCGAAGAGAATTCAACAAAGTTGTAGAACTTCAAACAGTTTTTAACGAGTTGATGCATCGAGTAGCTCACGATAGAGAATTTGTGGAAGCATGTTTCAAGGATACCATTCAAGTGGATGAATTCACTGGAAACTTATTCAAAATATATGAAACAGTTCAACAAGAAGGAGTATCTCAGGTGAGTTAGAAATGTGATTTAGCAAACTTGGCCTACAGTATGGTGCATAGTCATTATTCACTGTCTACAGCTTCTTATAAGTGGTGTTGCTATCATTCCCAATGATTTTTCTTGTAATGCAGAAGAACTATTTAATGCAGGGTGTGGTTGATTATCAATCAACTATATGTACACATATATTTTCAAAAACAAGAAATCCACGTAAAGTAATGCAATTGTTGTGTTTGTGGTTAGTAGAAAATTTGTATCTATCTAAAATATAAAAATAGTAAATTAACATAAACTTTTTTTAAGTTACATAAAATGTATAATCATCACACTATATTTTAACTATAGAGTATGTTGAAAATAATTGACCAATGTAATTGATTCAAGAATAATTAAGAATTATAAAGTATGTTTTTAATGCTCACCCAGATATGGGTTATTATTGGACAACAGAAACTATTGATTTCAAAAGTGAGAGCAATAAGCTAACAATTCCAATGGCTTTTTTCTATAGTTGGCATCTTCAGAAGATGAAGTTTGGCTTTTTTTTCGGTTAATTTTAGAAATATGAAATAAGATGGGCTGCTTACAATATCAGTTTTTATTCTGAAGAATAATCAAGTGGTTTTACACATCAGCTTTCAACATTCATTCATATATTTAGTCATTTGAAAAATATGTTAGATAATGAGTTTTGGAATATAAAATTAGCGGTAAAACGGAACTCAACAAATATCATGATAGCTCAATAGAACAATATTTTTGTAAACTGGAAACCATTAAATATTATTTACTTAGTAGAGTTTGAAAATATAACAGCTCAAATGCCCAAAATTATTCTGGCAATTATCTACAAAACTACTGCTCACTACAGATATAAGATCCAATGAACAGTTTTCCTTCATCCAACTGAACAATGTCTCTTTGAGTATGATATATTATGAAATATGCAGATTCAGTTTGCATATTGAGGAAACAGAACATTCATAGAACCTGAAAATTCTTGTTGAATGTGTAAAAGTGGTATCACTTTATATCAACTGATGTAACTTGCAAAAACTGCAATAAAATAAAATTCCTATTTCTTATAACGATTTTATTTTATGGTATATAGATGAAACTTTTTGTATTTGGGAATATGAGGTCATATATTTCATTACGGTCGGACTACTTACTACATAGTACTTCTAATAATAATCTGAAGCAGGTTGAGTTGAATACAATTGCATCAAGCTTCAGTGGTATTGGAACTTACATGACACAATATCACAGGTATGAAACTCTGAAATTATGTGGACAAAATCAAAAGAAATAAGGTTGAATCGTATGAAAATAAGATTATAATTGACCTCTCAGCTATTCAGTACCAGGATCCATTAATCCTAACTAATAATCTTAACATGGGTATACATCAAATGAATTATATTTTTTGTGGTCCTTTATGTGAATGCATCGTGTATAATTTTTGTATCAGAAATGTCCCATTCTAATATATTTTTAATCTAAATTCCTGTTATACAAAGGAAAATATTTTGACTATTTGGTTTGAGGGGGGATTGGATGTATAAAATGTTAATGAGTAAAAGCAACACAGTATGTCTTGTTGCGAAAAAAAATCAATTGTGTTTTTCATTGAAAATTTGTTTTCTTTCATAAGTCTGTCAAAAGAATTCGCGTTTCTCCAAAATTAGATAATAAAAAGATTTTTTATTTTGTATTTCACTTTACTATAATATCATCATCATCAAACATCATCATATTTTATCATAACATCCTCATAGATATTATTTGAAAAACATAATTTTTTGTGGAGTAGTTAAAGTTCTTTAATGTTCTTTTGGTTTCCATCCTTCCGCAATCTGAAAAATTAATAAATATAGACATTTGATTTCCAAATCCCTAGATGTTTTTTGCTTTCTTGTTTGATTTGAATGTTAATGTTTTTATTCCAGATATGTTTTACAAGAATTAGGGCATTTCGATAAAATAAAAAATGTAAGTATTGAATTGAAAAGAGCACATTTTATGATTTTGCTCTTATTGTTTTCAGCAGTTGGTTGTTAAGCCAAAGTTCATTGAAATTCATCCCTGTTAAGCTAGTAGAACCACTTTGGATTTTTAATTTATTTAGAGGCCATAATTTTGGGCCTATTTTTTACTGTATTCCAGAATTTTTGCTTTTCATTCAAAGGCTTCTGCTGACTTCACGTTAAACCAGCAGAACCCAACCACAATGAATGAAACCTTTAGTTACATCAGACTGCACCATAATTTTAGGCTTTTATTCCATCCTGTTTTTTTTAATTAGTGGGTTCCATTGAACTGGTTAAACCAAATCGAAATCCTTCGTTTTTTGGGAATTTTGAATTTGCAATAATTTTTGGGCTATTTAATTACCTAATTGGACAATTTTCTGTTCTCATTTGAATTGAATATTTAGGTAATAACCTCAAAAGCACAAGGTAACGGTGAAACTAATTTTCTAGTAATATTCTTTGATTATGGATTTTAGGCTCATTTCAAACCCCATTTTCTACCTCATTTCGCTTTGCTACTTGTTTTTTTTTTCAACATTTGGTTTCTGCCTAGCTTTATTTCCAGAAAAAAAAATCAATAAAACTCAAATTTATTTTCAAAGTCAAAATTTTAGGATTTACTTGAAATAAAAGCACAGATTTATGTTTAAATAAACTGGTTAAACAGATCTAATGCATTTAATCTATCTAAAACTCTAATGTTTCATCATTTTTATACACTGAGATGAATAATCATATTATTATTTTAATTTCATGAAATAAGAAAGAAAACCATAATATAAAGCGACTAGTTGTTATTACTAATAAAATATGAAAATTATCATAATAGAATGAAAAATATTCCATCAGTTTGTTTAAAAATATAATCATGTGTAATTATCTCAATTATATGATTATATTATCTTCAAAAGTTTTACATTGTGTTGCTCTATATAAATATATCATAATACATATTCCTCAATCAGACCAGACATTCTTATCTACCGATAAAAATCTGATATTGGTTGGTTATATTATTTCGAATGTAGGTATTTAAATGATACATTACTGGTAATGCCATCTCATTCAACGTTTGATTCGAACAGGTGAACTCATAAACTATATTCAAGTTTCAGCATAAAGATCATCATGTCCAAACCGGTTCCAAAACTTCCTAATCAATTTCTACCAATTACTAAAGATGTACTCAAAGAAACAGTATTAAAAGCTAAAGATTGGGCAATTTTGCATGGATGTTCTATGAGGTCAAAACATAATTACAGTGAAGATTCAGTTCAAATTTCTCCTTTCAATTTACTTCCATCAAGTTTTCCTCGAAGAGAATTCAAAAAAGTTGTAGAACTTCAAACAGTTTTTAACGAGTTGATGCATCGAGTAGCTCACGATAGAGAATTTGTGGAAGCATGTTTCAAGGATACCATTCAAGTGGATGAATTCACTGGAAACTTATTCAAAATATATGAAACAGTTCAACAAGAAGGAGTATCTCAGGTGAGTTAGAAATGTGATTTAGCAAACTTGTAGTTGCTTCAATGTAAAGACCAATTCCACATTTGCAAATCATCTTTTAACAGAGGGGCATGAGTTCTACCACGAATATGACTTTTCACATTTGGATTTCTTGGAAGTCAACAGATTTAAGAATTATGGATATTTACTAAATGAACAAATGGAATTAAATAATTTCTTTAACAAAATTGTTTTCTGGTGTAAAAATTGCTAATTAGTTTATTGGATGTCCAGTTAATGAGTTTGGAAAATTTCTTTAACAGATTTCAAACAGATTTGAATTTCAATTAGTTTCTACCTAAGCTCAGGTGAAATTATGTCACTTAGTAGGCTTAAAAGGTCATATGATTCAAATTATGATATTATATAAAGCACTAATTTGGTAGAATTTCGTCAGTTTGTTGTGTTTTCACTATTCAGTCTAAAAAACTGAAACACGTATCTATTTCACTATACAGTAAGTTCTCAAATTCCCATTCGATACGTTAGTGCGTTTCTATTGGTTTAAGCAATTCATCAAATTTTTTCTATTATTTTCAGGAACTCTATAGTTTTATCAGGTGTGTTCATACATCTGCAAGGTTGAGTGTTGTCTCTTCTGTAAAATATTCTGTTCCGTATTCTGTTTGTATGATCTGCGGTACGTTTGCTAGGGTGTGAAAGTAACGTGACTTCCAGTTTACAGTCTAACTAAGCTTATATCCAGAGTCTATAGGACGGTACTCGGTAAGTCTATGTAGACTTATAATGTTATGTCTGAAGTCTTACTAAAAAGTGAACAATTTGAAATCAAATGAGAAACGAACCAGTTCGTGATTTGAGTTCAGTTGAATGTTGAATANAAGTAGCTCATATTAGAGAGAAATGAGAAGAAGAATAATAAACCTGAAGATAGATGTGAAATGTCTTCATCAGAATTTTTAGTAGCGCCAAGTACATCTAGTATTAAGGTTGACGATACTATTGAGTCAGAAGTGAAAAATACGAAGAAAACTAGAAAATATAAATTTTGTGAGTGTTGGTTGCAAGAATCAAATTTGAAAAATTGGTTGACGAAGTCAAAAGATATGGGAAAACATAAAGAATGTCAGGCTTTTTGCAAATTATGCCAAGTAAATATTCTACCTCATAAGGCAACCTTGTTGAAACACAGACAATCTACAAAACATAAATTTCTAGAGAAACAAGTTTCCACCTCTTCAGATTTATCGAAGTTATTGAATAATCCATTGTCTGAAAAAACGAGACGAGCAGAAATCAAATTAGCAGGCCTTCTGGCAACTAATAATTTACCATTTTCATTAACAGATGTTTTGACTCCCCTACTTCAGGACATTTTTCCCGATAGCACAATAGCACATGAGATGGCAATGCATCGAACAAAAGCTACACAAGTATTGAAAGAGAGTCAAGGGTGCATTATAGCTATTCCCAGTTCCGTCAGCCATGTAATTAGCAGAATCAACTATATACATTCTCTTAGCAGGCGGTTTCGAGGTCACGATATTTCAATCTGTGCTAATTTACCGTTAAAGACTTACGAAAAAAATTTCCTTGCCTCTACTTTTCAATGTCAAAGAGGGTGTCCAGAGAGGGTGTAATCATGAACATTTGCGTGCAAAAACGTGTAATTTGACAGTTGGATGCGTGTAATTTGACCGATATCTGTTGGCAACACTGGATGAAAGAGCAAAATGAAAATAAGAATGAAATAATGTTGACCTTGAATTAAAGTCGAGATATAGTTTGCAAACTATTGTTTGGAATATCAGATTTACTGAAAAATAATAACCAAGTATAAATATAGAGGTATATCGTTTCGAGGCAATTCCACTTATCCAATTATTTTGAAATTTGGCAGGGATACATATCATTCGAGTGACAATGCATTAACGACATTTATGTTTATACAATAGAAGAAACAGAGGTTTAGTTTGGTGAATTGAAAGATTTTTATCAACATTCATGATAGATGAAGAGTTTTGTAATTTAATTCCGAAGATGGCGGATAAGCTAGGTGAAATATGGTCTGATACCATTTAAAATTGGTATACAGGTGCTTTTTTGGGCCATGATTTTTTTATTACGTTTTCATTGACTCGCTTTCTTGTCTGTTTTTTCTGTACAAATCCTGTGAAGTGAAATTTGTTCAACTTCTTGTTGAAATTTGGCAGATGTTCATAATTTCCGTGACAATGCATTATGAAATTTTTGTTACAGAAAAAGAAAACAAAATGGACGTGATATATGATTATGGCCTGAGTCTTTCAAAAATTGGTTTGTGGGGGTTTTTGGAGCCAGATATTATGAATTAATAGTCAATATTACTAAAATCAAGATGGCGGCTCCAAGATGGCTACGAATTTAGTGATTTTGATTCGATTCGATTGAAAACTGATATGTGGGGGTTTTAGGGATCCGGGATTGTGAATTTTTAGACAATTCTCAAATTCTAGATGGCGGACGAGTTTTGTGATTATGGTTAGATTCGATTCAAAATTGGTATGTGGGGAATAAAGAGGTCGGAGATTAGGAATCTTTTGTAAAAATAGAAATAAATAGGAATTCAATGACATTTTTGGTTGTTGCCAACCCCAAAATTTTTGTTAGAAAGAAAATAAACAAAATGGCGACACCATTATGGCAGACAACTTTTGTGATTATGGTCCAATTTTATTCAAAATTGGTATCAGGGTTTTCAGGGTCGGAGATTTTTTATTCAGTCACCTTGTGTGACTTTTATAATAAATATCCATCATTTCGTGTTTCAGCTTTCAATGACAATTGTGTGAAAACCTTTCTGTTAAATCCTGGTTCACATCTGAAATTTCCCATTCATTTTTTTATTGTGGAAATTGCTGGAAGGATTATGCCTTTTTGTCTCATCAAGTTGTATGCTGNCAACCAATTTTAGAATATTGTGTTTGGCCACCCACTACAAAATACATTTCTCAGGACTTCAACATTTATATTAATTATGCCCCTTTTAACCTATAAAACTTAAAAAAAAATTTGTCGTACACACATACTCGTAGTTGAACAAATTTTGAACATGAGCTGAGAAGGCTGATTGGTTTGTAGTTTTCAAATGATTCGGGGTTTCCTTTTTTGTAACATGGTTGTATTACTGAAACTTTGAGATTTGAAGGGAAAAGTACAGTTTTGAGTGGAGCATTGATGATGAGACAGAGGCGCTATAATGTGTTTGAACTCAACGACATTTTGTTATTGTACAAGCCATTGAATTTTTGGCGAAAATGGCTTTCACGGATGAAGAAAAAAGAGATATGATACAAATGTATTACAAATACGATAGAAACAGTGTTATGACATCGGAAAAATGTATTTAAACTTTTGTCGCTATTCAACCATCTTCGTATCTCTCATATAGTTACTGAGATCCCAATGGTGAGGATCGAATTTGAAGCACCCTGTAGATATACCGAAATTTCGTCATACCCTGAACTTTTTTTATTTTCTAACTTCTGTCACATTTTGTACTGGTACAAAAAACAGAGGTTTTTCGTTATATGTCGCATGTATACTCAATTTGTGAATGTCTCTAATGAACAATTCATAAGTGAAATGTGGTATACCTATTCAACATCTAATGTATAACTGATAATGCATAATTTTCAATGAGCAATTTTTCACAAGACATTTCTTTTTTGTGAAACATAATTTTTGATGTTTACTGTGCAAAACAACTGTTCCTTTTGAAAATTCTACTGAAACGCTTGCAAAACCTGAAGTCATTGACCATAAGATCCAAAGTTTCAAATTTCCGAGTCCGTGCAGGAGCATTTCTGAAATTGTGCATATCTAATTATTTGAGAATTCAACGTTTTCAATAATAGGTAAAATGTATCCATTTTGTTACCTACTACAAAATGAGAGTAAAACTACATATTGATAAAACAAGGCTTTTCACAAGTCTTTATACTAACAAAATATGACAATAAATCATACTTTGAAATTATAGTTATAACCTATGTTACACCCTGTAGCTAAAAACTTACCATTGTTTGCACCTTTAAGGATCCTTCACTGGAAATCTATAGAACCTCCAAGATTTGTCAGTCCTGGCGGTTTGACCACATCTATAAAATTGACACTTATTTCCAAACATCTGAAAAAATAACAATAACTGTTGATATTTTGCAAATTTCAACTGAAAAAAATCATTTAACTCTTTTTTTAATAAGATGTTTCAGATATCTTAGTCAAAGTATGGTATTACAGACATACTTTTCTCTTTTTAACATCCACCCAACATATGGCATACTTTTACAAGGTCTGTCTTCACATGTAATTAAAGCCTTTCGTATGCAAAAAAAAGCAATCCGGATCATAGCCAATATTTCTTACAGAGAACACTGTCGTCCTCTATTTCAAAACCTCAAAATTCTACCACAAAAGTAATACTAAGTACCTTACAAATGCTGACTTTCGTAATTACCCTATTCAAAGAGGTGCATACCTGAGGCCTCAATTTTATAAACTGGATCTATCAGCTCGAAATTCACTCAACTTACATTTATACAATAAAATACCAACGGACATTACCGGTCTGAGATATAACCGTTTCCAGGCTAGAGTTAAGCACTCGCTATTAAGGCACTGTTTCTACTCCATCGACGAATATTTGAATTTTAAGACATTAATATTTTAATATGTTATATGTGTTTTTAATTTTTTTCAATTTCCATAATAATTGTTTTAGATGTAATCAGCGTGTATAACAACAACTATTGTTCAATTATTGTTATTCTTGTTTGTCAGTTTGATTTGTACTATCATACATTTTGTAGTTAATGTGATAAAATAAACATATTCTATTCTATTCTATTTGATATATTTTTCAAATGTAGTTTGTGGAGATCAAATCGTGAGGTGTAGTTTTTTAAAATAAATGATATAGATAATTTGCATTTATGTAGATCAAAATAAAGAATTCCAGTGATGACTGGATTCAGGATTGTTCTTTAAGAATAGAAGAGTCCAACAATGCATTTATTATTTAGCTTAACACACTTATGTAGAAATGGCTGTTTGGTGTTGGATCATGAATGCTGGGTTTTTGGGTTCTAATTTCATCTAAAATAAATACTAGTTGAGCGAACTGTATATATAGGCCATGGCATTTGATAATTGAAAAATAAATTAAGATTGTTCTTTAATTTTTCACAAATTTTTTTCCGTATTGTTGATAATTTTTCTATTACAATTCATTCAGCTCCCTGATAACGATGCTCTTACTGGAAGTTCGCAAGGTTTATTGGATGCATGGAAATTGTATGGGAATCCTGACTCGATAATAGTATTCCTTACTGAAGAAGTAACTTACAACATATGCGATCAGCGGTTACATGAATTCGAAATAAGCAAGTTGAATCCTGAGGTCAAAGTGTTAAGAAGATCGTTAACTGATATACATGATAGGGGTTCAATTAATTCTAAGGGGGAACTGATTATGTAAGTATACTTGAAACTATTGTCATGATAAATTTTTATCGAATTTATATTAATTATTAGACTTCTAGTAAAATAACAGTAACTTTTCTGTTCCAGAGACAATGACATTGTGGGTCTAGTTTATTTAAGAGTTGGCTATGAACCTGATAATTATCCGTCCAAAAAAGAATGGGATGCAAGGTTACTGATAGAAAGGTGAAATATAAAATTTAATTTTTTTTCTGTTTGTTTCATAAGCATATTTATTATTTTAAAAAACCAGTGATCCACCCTGACTTCACACAGGTGCATTTTTCAACTGTAATTTCATTGTGAAAGTTAGCTCACAGCCACAGATAACTGTCATATCTTCTAAACAAAAGTTCCAATTTTAATAATTTAAAGAAGGACTTTACATGTATATATTTAACTTCGATTATGAAATTATTCAGTTGCAATCCATGAAAATATGGATTTATAAAATAAAGGAAAAAACCGAAACTGGGCACGAATAAACTTCAAAACAAAGAACTCAGACGAAAAGTTCAAAGTAACAGAAAGTTGAAAAAAAATAATAATCATTATAGAAACGGTGGATACATTTGGCAGGTCTGAAGAAAAGGCAGTGAAGAAAAACTTAGGAAGTATAAGAAAAAAAAATAGTAAAAAGATCAATAAAGAAAAGATGGGATTGAACTTAATAAAAGGTATAGAACAAACAATATAGAGTTCAGGAAGCTAAATATTTACTCCTGTTAGCTTTGGGCTGTTAAGCCCAAAGATCAAGTGGACAAGATGGCATTAAAAATGTCAAAGATGAAGTGGACAAGATGCTAAAGAAAGTGGACAAGATCTGGACAAAATCTGGAGTTTTTGAGCTCAAGTGTCCAGAGTGTAATAGTGTTTATGTGGGACAATGTGGCCGAAATTTCTCAAAACGGTATGCTGAACATAAAAGTTCCTTCAGTTTAGGTAAAAATGATTTGACATTTTCAAACCATTCCTTGGAGTGCAACCACAAGTTCCCGAACCTAAACGATACGAAAATTTTGCACTATACAAGCAAGGGTTGGAAATTCAATAATTTGGAATCCTTGGAAATTCATAAGCATAAACATTGCGGATGTAACCTGCTAAATGACCAATTCGACTTGGTCTACTCGCCGGTTTTCAGATTAGCGTACACACATTGTGGTCGCATTCCAAGGAATGGTTTGAAAACGTTTAATCATTTTTACCTAGTCTGAAGGCATACCGTTTTGAGAAATTTCGGCCACATTGTCCTGCAATGATTTTCTCCGTCTTTTCCACTTTATCTTTGGCACTAAAAAAGAAATAATATAAGCTGGCATGTGGCCTGAATGCCACCTATGGCCTGAATGCCTGAACCGCCTATGTTCTTTCACCAAAGTAAGTTTAAGTTACAAATTTCATGATTTCTAAACGACAGTTGGTGTCGTTCAGTCGACGTTCATTTCTGTAGGCCCAGGTTTGAATTCTTTGGATACTTCATGATCCATAAATGATTTCACAAGTAACTTATGGTTTCACAAGTACTTGGGAAAGGGGGTTCATCAAGGCAGAGCCCTGCATTACCGTTAAGGTAACACTTTACTTTGCAGGGTAATTCTAACAACCCCCCCGCTACTGGGCAAAAGAATATGCTGATGATGAAGATTCCAATAAAGAAAGACAAACATAATATTTGGGATCAAAGTAAAAAACTTCAGGCTAGAATAGCATATACATTCAGTAGCCTTCATCACATATCGTCTCTTTTTGAACTTATTTTCAAAATTCAAACAAAATAATGAAAGTTTATTGTATTAGAATTTGTTCTGTGAACTATTTTCGTGGTTAATATGTTTCAGAAAGTTTAAATTCAATCCTTATAAAAAATCAAAATCTTTAACCTAACTTAAATCATACATTGAATCCGTATCAATTTCCACTATATTCAAATGTACAAACATTTTTCCCAAGGTCAAAGGCTATTAAATGTCCCAACATACAGTACCATTTGGTAGGACAAAAAAAAGTACAACAGGCTCTAGCAAAGTCAGGAGTACTTGAACGCTTTCTGACAGATCCCAAAAAAATTGAAGCTCTTAGAGAAGTTTTTGTTGGATTATATGGACTCGAATTTGATGAATTTGGTGACCAGGCTGTCCAAATGGCTCTTGATGACCCAGAAAGGTGAATACATTTTTTATTATGCATTATGCAAGATTGAAAATCTGACTGCAATTAAAATAAAAAATAATATATTCAACAAATTTTTTAAATTCTGGTAATACAAGATTTGCCTGAAATATTTAACGATTATTTTCTGCAAGTAATAATTTCTTTGTTGTCATTCATAAATACATTGAATTAGTATTGTTCGATTATATGCATAATATTAGCACAGTTTTGATAAACGTGAACTGCTATTATAATCATTATTTTTCATAATAAGCTGTACCTTAACTGAAATGTTACCCGTAATTCATTGAAGGTATGTCCTGAAACCACAAAGGGAAGGTGGTGGTAACAATTTATATGGAAAAGATGTGAGAGACTTTATGCTCAAAGTAAAGGATACCAAAGAAAGAACTTCATGGATTTTGATGGAGAGAATTTTACCACCTTCTGAAACAGGGTATATGATAGTACCTGGGGGACCCAATCCACCACCTTTGTCTGAAACAGTTTCTGAGCTTGGGATCTTCGGTGTTCTTATTGGGTAAGTAGAAGCAGTATTTTTTAAGTTGTAAAAGTTTTATAATAAAATAATTATTTCCATAAGTGACTATGAGAAAGACAAATTTAGGATGATTATGTTTGGAATTTATTTTTTGGAAAATTAATCTAGTGCCTTATATCAAGAGGAATTTCATTCAGAAAAACAGTATTGAACCCTCCTAAGTGAAACATTTGTGAACTGTTTTGTGAAAACCTCACAATGAAATATTAAATGCATTCAGAAAAAAGCTTTTGGAGAAAGTTATATTTTATGAGTATGTCACTTGCTGTTTTCCAACATGATTTAGTTTTATTGTTATTATTGCTTATAAATTATAATAAGATGTTCTATCTGAAGGACAACACAAATGTCAAGGTACTTTTATGCCCTGAAAATAATTACACAAAATATATCCACGGAGGCTGCGTTGTTAGCATAATAATAATAATAATAATATTTATTCATCCTCAAAGACGTTGACAAACGTATAGGATAGGTCAGTATTAAGCACATAAAAATCACATCAAACGATAAAATTGTAGATCAGTAGATAAAAATGTATACAACAAAGTCAGAATTACAAAAATTAAAACAATTGTAGTTATAAAAATTGAATATGTCATGCCAAAGCCGCATGAACCCATTCAGTCGAGATGGTCCGAGAGAAATTTGCCAATACTATAGTAGGCCTTAGAAAGAAGCAATGTTTTAACTGCTTTTTTAAATGCTACAGTGTTCATCTGTTTGAAATGGTCTGGTAACCGATTGATTAATTTTATTCCCATATATTTGGGAGAATGTTCCAATTTTATAGTTTTATGTTTAGGAATGCTCAACTCCTCTGCATATCGAGTTGGGTAGCTATGATAGAATGAGTTCTTAGTACAGTCTGTTATACATTCGCGAACATATAAAAGTATTTTAAAGATATAGATGCAGGGAAAGGTTAAAATTTGATGACTAATGAAAAATGTCTTGCATGATTCCCTCCAGAACTCCAGAACATATATCGTGATAGTCTGATTTCATATCTTTAATCTTGACGAACATCCTACGATCTGTAAGAAAGTCAATGATCCATTCTAGGAAGTCCCCTCTAAATCCTAGATTATATAATTTGCTCTCGATGAATTTAAAATGTAAACAATCGAACGCACGTGACAGATCGAAGAATACTCCTGCAACATTCTTACCCCTATCTAAAGAAGCGTATATGATTTCTAAGAATCTCCAAGTAGCTGATTGAGTGGACTTGCCTTTGCAAAAACCATGTTGAGAATCGGACAGGATCTTGAACCTTGATAAAAATCTCAATATTCTCTCATTCACAACCTTTTCAAAATTTTTTGAAAAAATGCTTAACAGGGCCATCCATGATCATGGATGTTTTTAGAATTGAAGGGAATTTGCCACTTGTGACTGATAGATTCAACAAATAAGCTAAATGTTTTGAAATGTGTAACTAAATTTCTTTTAAAATTCTCACTGATATATTATCAATTCCTGTACTTTTTTTATTTTTTAGATTGTTATTTACTGCGTCAATTTCACATTCGTTAACGGGCATAAAGAAAAAAGTATTCGATTCAATTCCAGAAACCGTGCATACGGATGATCTATTGTCGCCAAAATGGTCTGCTAAACTATTTTCTACTACTGAAGAGAAATAGTCCCCAAATATGTTCGCAACATGACCTCTGTCTGTGATTACTATATTATTATAAGAGTAATATCTCTTTGAATTTTTTTTCTGTTCGTTTCTTTGTTAACTAGGTTCCAAACTGTTCTATTTTTATTGTTTGAATTCTTAATTACATTTTCGTAAAAATTCAACTTTGAAGCTTTTATTAATGATTCATAGTTTTTCTTCACTTTTTTGTATGCAGCACGAGAATCTTCGTTGCCTATATTTTTACATAACCAATGCATACTTTTTAAATCAAGACTGGCCTGTTTCACTTCAGGAGTTATCCAGTTATGTTTGTTACTAGTGGACGATTTGTTTTTTTGGTCGGACAACATTTATCGATAGCATCACTTATAATATTCATGAGGGCCAGAAAGCTCTCATATAATGGTTATATTCAGTCACATAAGATATGGCATTATGTTCGGCGAAATGTCTGCACAAACACAAAAAATATTCATATTGCAAAAACGGTGTCTCAGAAAAATATTCAACCTTTCTCAGAAAGAAAGCTGTAAAAAAATATTCGTAGAGAAAAAAATATTAACACTAACAGGTCTCTATATTTATGAATCTGTGGTATTTGTCAAAGAAAATATATCTCTGTTTGCGACTCATGATAGGAACCATACCTACAACACACGAAACAAAAATAACCTTTTGAATATAAAGACACATTTGACCTATCTTCAAAAAAAATATACCTTTTAAAAAAAATCTGTTTTTCCGTTAACCAGCTGTCGCACCCCTACGAACGACAATCCTCAGAAGTCGAAACTTGTGCGAGCTAAGGATTAACAAGGTCTTACCTTTTAACGTGTGATTCCTAACACGGATTGGACGATAGCAAGTGAAAATCGATCGTTCAGACTAGGGCTTGAACCATCGACCAACACGGGAATCAATTCAAGTGAGTGAGCAAAGCACCCACGTCGAACCGCCTGGCTTGCGACCGCCTTTTTCAATCATTAATATTTATGGCAAGATACCTGAATCTCTCAGAACTTTGTCTTCTATGATCATGAAGAATAAATTGAAAACTTTGCTTCTCTCCAAAGCTTATTATTCGCTGGAAGAATTCTTCAATGATAATTTAAACGGATGTTGTTCGCGTTGAATATTTCATGTCGTATCATTCTGCATTGTGATGTAGTTTAATCTCTTTTAAACCCTTCATATAGATGTATATGTTCATGTTCTGTATCTAATATAATAATATTACATTAAGTATATTGACTGTGATAACCTTGTTATTCATACATCTGTGGCCATTTATATTAATATTAATGATATTGCCTCATGATTTTCTACTACTTCTATAATGTTTTCAGTAATTGACATGTTCTGCACATGAAAAGGTTTTTTATTAGAAAGAACTAATAACGGATATCTATCTATCTATCATTGTTAATTTGTATTTTTTTCAGGGACCCACAAAAGATAATTGTGAATAAACAAGTAGGTCACATGCTGAGAACTAAAGCGGCAGACTCTGATGAAGGGGGGGTAATAGCAGGTTTTGGAGCATTGGACAGTCCCTATCTGATTGACTAATATAATCTACATTGCCATTCCGAGTAATGAGCTTTGAAGCACTATAAGTTGATTCAACAAAGTTATCAGCAATTTTTATATGTTTTGAGAACAGATATTTTTATCTAAAGAATATGATTGTTTTTATGAAAAATACTTCTTGAATAAAATATTTTTGAAAAAAAGTTGGGTAGTTAGTTAGTTAGATTATTAGGCTTGGTTATTTAATTTTACAATGAATTAGATTTGTTTCAAACCAATTCTTAGCAATCATTTCAGTGAATTTGGAACCAATACAAATTCTTTTCGATAGTCATACAGGGATTGATCTGAGCGTGAAAATGTTGATGTTGCTATTTTTTTTTAATATTCATTGGTTGAAAGGAACTGGCCGATACTTGATAAAAATTCATTTCATAACATACTAATATAGTCTATACTAGTTTTTTGGGTTAATAATCTTCCAGAATCTGAAAAAATGAAAGATAAATCAATAGAGAATCTGCTGGAGTAAAGGGCAAACTGGAAAGTTCACCCCGAAAAGTTACTGCGTAATATAAACTACTGGAAAGTCAGTAACTTATCGTATTCATAAATTTTGCCTAATTGAAAAAATTAAATATTGATACTTTCTTAAGTGGTTAACATTTTGGGAAACAATCGTTTTCTGTTTTCAAAACCTGTATTTACTATGAAAATCTCGCCTCAAACTGTGATATTTCTAATTTCTTTAAACACAAGTCAAAAGAATAATTCTTTTGACTTGTGTTAGAACCACTTAAGAAAGCTAAGTATCAATATTCAAATCATCTAAAAGAACAATTCGTTCAGGCCAGTCTCAACACCCTACACAGTAGGTTAATGGACTGACACCTATCAGAAAACAACTACTCCCCTGGCTAATACCACGAAGGGCGTTGGATTATATCCGACAGGTGTCAGTGCAGGATTCTTCACTGAAATTATTCCTGCATATGCTGTTGGCGATACAACGCAATGAATTTTCATACTGGTCTGAACGAATTGTTCTTTTAGATGATTTGATTTATAGCCAGTCTTCAAGTATGCCCACTGACTATACGTGAAAAATATCAATATTCAATTTTTTCAATTGATTTTTTACCAATTTGTAGGCAAAATTTATGAATATGACAAGTTACTGACTAATTGGACTTTTTTGGATTTTTTTCGACTTCCTTTTTTACAAATGAATCAAGTATTGTTTTGTCTTATTGTCATGTCATGTTTCACTGAAGTGCAGACGTGCATCGCCGGAGTCCCGACAGAAACTAAAGTTTTAGTGGTAATTTACTGATGAAAAATTTCGAATTTCACATCAAAACAACAGTGAAAGTGCCGCGATTACACTTTTGAAGATTAAAATCAGTTTTTGGGCCTGAGTTAGTAGATAATTTGATAATATAATAATATCTTAAATCGATTCAGTTGGGACTAAATCATAAATTGCATGAAATTAGCCACATCTGGCAAAACAAGTAGATAAATAAAACCCTTCCAGTGACGTGCTTTTTCAATGGTCTTCACTGTGAGGAAAATGGGTAAACTACTGTGTAATAAGTGTGAAAAGGATTTAGAAGGGGAAGACATTGTCGTATGTGACTGCTGCAATAATGTATTACATTCAACGATGCATTACGTATTTCTGTGATCAGTGTAGGAATAATATCAAGCAAATGCCTAAACTCATAACAACAGCTAAGTGATATTATGGAGATAAATAGAATACTTCAAAAAGAAAATGAAAAATTGTGAAAAAAAAGTTGATGACATGAGTTTATCCAACTTCCATTCCGACATGGAATCTAATTTGCTTGGAAGTGAAGATCTAATATCAGAAATTATAGACAGACAATCACGAGCGGCCAATATTATCATTTATAATGTGAATGAACCTCAGGGAAACCTCCACACTGAAAGATCAGCACAAGAAAGAGAAACCATAAATAATATACTGCAGGACTTCAACGTCAATAAGGAAGAAATAAAACATTTCAGATTGGGAAAACCAATAATTAACAGAAATCGACCCATCAAGGTTGTTTTTTAATCACAAGATGATGCCAGATATAATTTGAAGAATAAACAATTAATAAAAATACCCAGTGTGAAAATATCTAATGACCAAACTCCAAAACAAAGATACTATTTCCGTAAAGTGAAATCTAAATTGGATATAATGATTGCAGCTGGGGTTAACAATAGTACCATCAAATATAGTAACTGAATAAGTGTAAAACATTTAAGGAGGTGATTCCTCATCGAAAACAAGATAGGATAAATAGGTATAGGTAAAATAAGTTTTTGCTGCGAACTGGTTCATTTTGGGCAAAAAACCCAAGAGAAATTTCTTGTTTAGAATGAAACAGGCTGTCGGAAATAAATGGTAAACAAATAATAAGACATATTGTTACATTGGAAATAAATTTCAAGGGTTGCGTTTTCCACCCCTTACAACCATGGGGTAAACCAAATAAATTACTGGCTAAGTGTCTTTTTGGTAGTACAAAACGTCAGGTTAATTTTAATATTGTAACTTTTTCAGTGCTTGTGAAAAAACTTGTTATACAAATGTCATGTACCCCCTTTAAAGAGCTGTATCTTAACAAGGGATGCTCCAATAAAGTTTCTTTATATGAAAGATCCTATATTTTTTTCGATGAGGAATCACCTCCTTAAATGTTTTACACTTATTTAGTTAATATCTGTATAAATGGAAAGCCCACAATTGTGAGAAACACAAATTTTAGTCATGTAAGAAAAAACCAGTAAATAACCCTGATATACAGTTGAACAGTGATATCATATACCTCAATACACAAAGCCTACTGAAACATAAAGATGAAATTCAAGAAAGTATTGTTTGTTATGATCCAAAACTAATTCTATTAAGTGAAACCAGAACAACTGACGATATTGAAGATGTGGAACTTATAATGAACAATTATACTTGCATCCGTTGTGATTCAAAAAAGAGACACAGGCGTTGTCATGTATATAAATAAAAAATTCGAATTTTCTATTTTTAAGAAGTTCATACTGGAATCGTACTAATGGTGTAAAATTGTTAAAATTAACATCAAATCTTCAATATGGTTGATCGTATGTTAAAATCATTCACCTTCTAGTTCTCATGCAACTTTTTTAGAAGATTTCGAGGATGTTTGCGAGAAGCGTGTGTCATCTAACAATCGTTTTATTATGGTAGGTGATTTTAATTCAACTTATTAGAAGAAAGTTTCTATACCAAAAAAATCAAAAATATTTTCTCAACCTATGTTATAATTATGAATCAAACATTAACTGAGCCTACTTGAAAGACACTAGATACACACTCATTAATAGATTTGGTTTTGACTAATAACTATAATATAGTTTCAAATGTTCATTTAACCCCAAAAATTACTGACCACTCAATTATTTCTGTCAATTTCCTGCTAATTTCTTGTAATTGGTCTTCAAACTCTATGGATATTAATTTACTTTATGAAGAATTTCTACCATACAAATAAGTAAGTTCAAAAACAATATTCCTTGGTTTGACAATGAAGTTTTTATCAAAATTAAGAAACGACATGAAGCCTATAAAATATTTGTGACTACGGTGGGAGATGAAAATTTAAAAATAACCAGATAGGAAAAATTCAAAAAATTGAGAAACGATGTGGTTAACTCATTGAAAATATAGAAAGTTCAGTATTATCAACAAACTATAGTCCGTTCATAATTTGTCGATAGCACAAAATGAGGGCCCAAGTCATAAAACGGTCGTAAAACTCGAAAAAATCATAGGCGGAGGTTCCTGAGGTGTTTATTCATTAAATATAAAGCTTCAGTTTATATTCGAAACTTGCCTTGAAAGGGTGAAGTTGTTTGTTATTAGATTTACACAAATGCCTGCCTATTTCTCTACTACTAAACAATATTTCGTTTTGTAAAAGATCCTTGTGGACTTATAATCTCACAATTTACAGTTGTGTACTTGAAAAACCCGCTATATCTTAAATTTGGGATGAATAGTTGGGTGGTAGAGCTGGACAAGAAATTGCATCTTGCTTGCGTCATTTTATCCTTTAGTTCTGAAATTCATATGTTTAGCGACTGTTGCCCATGGCAAACTAAAAATATATATTTTGCGGTGATGATGTTTGCCAAAATCATATAAAATAACGAATTTTTTAACCCGGACATACACACTTAAAATCAGACACTATACACGCTGCAATTGAAAAGTAAAGAACAAAACTAGTCCGAAATTGGCAAATTTAATGAGAATGGTCCCGAGGAATCTTTCCATAGAAGTAGTAGAATAAGAACAAAAGGATTTGCTAAATTTTGAAGAAATTTTAAAAGCCAAGTAAAACCATGGCAAGATTAACAAGGAAGCAGTGTCAGAGTCAGAGGCAGAAATGCTTTATTGTCATAAAAGTTCAGGTTTTGTTGACAAAGCAGGCNTGAAGATATGATATACTGAACTATGAATTTACAGCCGTCCAAAATACCGGGAACATACAAAAAAACCACCCCTTCCACATTAGACGTTTAATTTTTTCCTTCTCAAACTGGCTTGTGTCCCCGAATAAGACTAACTGGAAAATGTTGATGAAGATATGATATACTGAACTATGAATTTCCAGCCGTACAAAATACCAGGAACACACAAAAAAAACCACCCCTTCCACATTAGATGTTCAATTTTTTCCTTCTCAAACTGGCTTGTATCCCCGAATAAGACTAACTGGAAAATGTTGATGAAGATATGATATACTGAACTATGAATTTCCAGCCGTACAAAATACCGGGAACACACAAAAAAACCCCCCCTTCCACATTAGATGTTTAATTCTTTTCTTCTCAAACTGGCTTGTGTCCCTCAATACGACTAACTGGAAAATATTGATGAAGATATGATAAGATACAGTTTTGAACAGAGATTGCGCAGATTATAGTGATTGTATAGTTTATTTCTCAGTTAATTCTATTCACTACACTCCTCTTCAATTCACAATTCATCATTCTTTTCTGCAGACATACATAAAGGACAACATTCATCAAACTCATAGTATAATCGGAAACATTTCGGTTCTAAAATCCTTTTACACGTTTTGCATTCAAAGCATTTTTCTGTTTCATCCACGTATCGACCACATATCAAACAATACGGAATCATTTTTTCTGATTTCGTCAATAGGTATTTTTTTAGTTCTAAACGGTAATTATCGGGGTCAAAACTTCTATCTAACTCAATCTTATTGAGAATACAATTGATGAAGTGCAAAATAAATATTCCACAATTGTAAGAGTCGGATTGTTTGGGATGATTTTCGTTTTTTATTTTGAATTCAGTCAAGTTGTAAGGATTTATTACATGACCATTTGACATGGTAATGAATTTCCTGAATTTCACATATTGTACTGATATGTTGCTCCGTTTGGATCGATGTATGAGAATGTATTATCTGTGAAATTGACGACCATAAGCGTGAAGTGTCTGTTATGCAAGATAGGTATTAGATTAATTTTTCCATGAAGGTCTTTGAAAATATCCGAAAAACTCTGTATCTAGTGAATTGAGTTTGAAAAACATTAGTTCTGTTTTATATATGTTCCATATTTTTACATTTTATGAAGAAGACAGTGTTGGAAATATACGAAAATTTGTCCAAAGTAGAATAGTCTTCAATTGTTAAATCATAAGTACAGTTATACCGCGCAACAACATAATTGCCCAATAATTGCCCTGTAATAGTCAATTTTCTTCATGAGATCATTTGATTTGATATCCTGATGCTCTAATTTGGAATACGACTTCACATTGAAATTACTGGTGCAAATAGGGCAATAATATATAACCCCTGGAGTATCTAAAGGCTCACTGAAAGTGAATTGATGAGCTTCAGTTTGACACTATCAACATGGAACTTCCAGGTAAGTTTATTATCAATATCAACACCTAAAAATTCAGTACAATTAACTTGATGTAAAGTTTTATTATTTAATCTAACCAAATAGCTTTTATCAATTGTTGTATTTTTCGTAACAAAGTTAAGCATTTGAGATTCAGCAGAATTTAGCAGTAGCCCATTTGTAGAAACCTCTCAGAAATTTTATCAGTTACTTCATTAGCTTTGACAATTACTTCGGACATAGTTCCTGGAGATACCAATATGTTAGTATCATCCATAAAAATACCAGTAATGGAATCTTTTGAACAAAATTTCGGAAGATCATTTATAAAAACCAAAAATAAAAGGGGTCCCAAAACAGAGCCCTGAGGTACCCATCTTGATAAAAATGTTCTTTCAGAATTCATTCCATTCTCATAGACCAGCTGCAGTGCACTTCGTTACCATACACCAACTGAAAGGTTTTTTGTATAACAATCAGAACTGAATATGAATATATATATGAAGAAACTGAAATACTTAGAGTAAACAAACAAAGGACGTGTCATGTGACGTCATCCAAAGCACCCCCTAAATGGTGACATTTTAACAGCTCAAAATTATTCAATGTTTTAAATTTCAATTTGATAAATAATTTGAATATTTTTGAGCTAAAAAAATATGAATGATTAATTTATTGGCAATAAATATTTTAGGATGTATTGAAAAAATAGCAACAAAATAGGGCTTGTGTCTAACCTGTTGAAAATAAGTTCTCATCGATTACAGTTAAGCAGTATATGGGTACATCATGAGCATCATCATAAAATCTGGTTAATTTTCCACTCTCCACATCACTTATCATGATGGACTTATCCTTCGAGGCTGTAAGTAAAAGTTTTCCATCCTGATTGAATTCAATGTCTCTACAAGCCCTCGAATGTAGCTCTAGAGTCATCTGCAGAATATTTTCGTCATTGGAGTATTTATAAAACAGGACATCCCCAACAATATTACCTACGGCTAGAATATCGTTTTGTGGATGAAAGGAAATATCAGTTATGAATTCTTCACACTGAATGTTGGAAGGGTGGTCCCTTTCCCGAGTATTCTGTCTGCGAATAGCTTTTATTGTTTCATCTTCCTCTTCATCTTTCTGAGGAATCTCATCCAAGTCAGAATCCATTTCTTCCATGTTTACAGTAGAATTCACAGTCTCACTTTCACTTTCAGACTGTTCTGAATGTGTCGTACTGATCTCACTGTTACTTGCGTCGTTCTCCATTACTTCGCCTTCACTCGTTTCAGGATTTTTCTTGAACATTTTACTATTTTCTTTTAGAAACTAACACAACATTATTACATATTTGAAACATTTCAATTGCATTTCGATTTTTAACTTAACCATGAAGATACAAAACTCGTACGGTGTTCTGTGGATAAGGATAAATCTCCCATAGGTTAGGAATGGTGTAGAATTCTTCTTCTTTATTGTGATGCATTTCTCTTTCACAGAAGTGTGGAGTGTCTTGCGACAGTTGCACAAGAAACTAGTTCTTAAATTCACTAATGATTCATCTTTTGATGCATGTGAAACAGCATGTTTCCCTTTATTGGCGCGAAATTTTCTGTTGAATTGAAGAACTTGCCTTTGGCTGCCATATTTAAAAGGGGGAAGTTCTCAGATTGTCCCATATTCCCACACAAATGCGAACACCAAATAGTATTCTTGAGTGCAAATGTAATGGATATTCCTATAGGAGAAAAAAATCATATATGTCTTAGAATAGATTTGTAAAACAATCTGTTTGCCATTACCCAGCTGGTGAAAACCCTCGGAATTTGAAACATGTGTGAGTTAAGGATTGAAGGGGTTTTATCTTTCAACGTGAGATCTCTAACACGAAAAACCCGAATATTGATAAATATTGTTATTCATTTGTAAATAGGCATTTTGAAAAAGAGATTATAGCTGTTTTGTGGTCATCATTTTTGGTTATTCAGAAAAAACGTGTAAACCTCGTGGAAGATTTTCTAAAATGTTTATGCAACAATACCTAAGAACTGAACCTAGTAACAACTAAGAACAATGTCCGGTTTGAGTACATGTTAATATAACGACAATTGTTATTCAATTGATATTTTTCTATTCTTACTCTTCCCATCCATTCCTTTTTTCAATTATTATGATAAACACAAATTTGAAGAATCGTTTTGAAATTTCTCAGGTCAATGACAGCTTCAAATATTTCAATTTGATGTATGCTCAGTTTAGTTTTGACCTATTTTTTTTTAGCAATTAGTTGAATATTGGCATAAATGATTAGCATAATTCTGTCTTGGTCAAGTTTCCATGAACGCTCTTGTTGATTTATTATATGCGAACTCTCAGTAACTAAGTAACTTGGTAGTAACCTTGCAACTATTAGTCTTAGGAGGTGTATTGTATATACTCGCTATTAATTAGGAAAATTTACAATAGCATTTCGGTAGCAAGCAAAACCTGGAAATACTAAGTTTTCATGTTTCTTTTTTTGCATATTTTCATTCTATTGGCATTTCCTTTATTTCAGAATAAGCAATTTTCCCAATCACTAGAAATGCAATATTCTTCTCGACACGCGTTTTCTCAAACAAGTCAAACTAACTGTTTTTTTATTCATCAATTCATTTCTATTTCAAGTCACAATGTGTATTCCTTACAATATGCGTTTTGTTATATTTTTGAAATTCATACTCATTTTCAATTTTTTTGTAATTTTTCTTGGCAATCGACTGGCTTCGACAATCTGGACATTTCATTGAATGACTTGTCAATAAGCATTTCCAGAGGATTGATCTTGGTTTCATTGTTCAAACACAAAAATGCCAAATACTACATGATTGATTATGATGTTCTGTAAAAGGTACCTACTCATATTCTCAGTTTCTACAAAACCAAAGACAGATAAAAAAATGACATAGAGTAGTATATTCTGTGCTACTGATAACCATAATAATAACCGTTCTGTGGTAAAACGCTTAGGAATAGGAATATTTCAAATCACATTGAACTCACAGGTTTGTGATCGAATTAGACAAGAAATATATTTCACCCATGCATTTCGAAGGTGATCGTACCAATACCTCTATGAAAAATACCGAATTGCTCCTCCTATAGGGCATAAGCATGTATGATTTGGTATTCTCCAGAGGTATGGAAATCAAGATCGCAAGCAAGTTCTTGATAAAACAAAAGAGTACTACCGGCTTCACTTCATATCATAGCACAAAATTTTGCTAAACTTATATTTGTAGTTTTTACACTTCCAAATTACGATTCCCTTTAATGAAATGATTTTCTTTTTTTCAGTCAGTGGAATTTTGACGTATCTAATATGGAAAGATTGTTTACATTATCATTTACACTCAATAAAATGTTTATTTTTAATTTGATTGCACTTGGTACAAAAATTTGCACAATTTGATAGGTCAGGATTGACTTTTGTGGAAAATTTTACTTTATGGGATACTCACGGATTTTCGCGATTTTTTCTGTGATGTGTGATACGTGATGTTAGGAATTCAGAACACATTTTATTTTTTGTCAGACTCAATTAGTTTTCGAGATATAGCCTATCCTGTCAAAGTTTGTATGTCATATTTTACCTTTCTTTATTAAGCAATAAACGATTGCAATTCACATATTTTTAATTCAACACATCTTTTTCCATATCATCGCACTTTTTTCTATTCCTTTTCATTCACTTATTGCCAAAGTATCTCGAAATTAGATTGAAATTCCATAATTTGTCACATTCTAACTCAACCTAACTTAACCAGACCTAACCTAACTCAGTCTAACCTTACTTTAAAATTTAAAAAACTATGTATCCTCAACATCTAATCTGACCTCCAAATTCTAAAAGGAACGTATTTTCGAATATTTACTTTTGTAAAAACTACATTTCCTCAACATCTAACCTGACCTCCGGATTCTAAAGGAAACGTATTTTCGAATATTTACTTTCGTAAAAACTATGTTTTCTCAACATCTAACCTGACCTCCTAATTCTAACAGGAACGTATTTTCGAATAGTGAAACTTAATGCAATTTATAAGAAGTGATTTGTATGCACCCATGGACATAACCTAAACCTATAAAGTTATACCTATGTGAAGTTGGCTGCCAGACCCAGCTGCTAAATTTTCCGAACTCTACCGAACGACCAGTGGCATGTATCCGTACTATCAGCGAAATGAATATTGTCGTATAGGAATATATAAAAACTCATAATTGATTTTTGTTGCAGAAAATCGACTTGTACAGTAATTGAAATATAAAACTGCTTCATTATGCATGGAATTGTGGAATAACTCTGTTATCATAGTCACCCTTCCGTGAAAATAAT